TTTAAAATTTCAAATATTAATACTTTATAATATATATTATAATATAATAATATATATATATTAATATATATATATATATTAATACATTATAATTACATATCTTTCATATATATGTTTTATATATATATATACTAAATATATAAACTAAATATAAAAAATTTATATTATCTTTAATATATCTATTAAAACAAATAATTAGAAAAAATAAAATAATTTTATTTTTGAACCATTCAAATTTTCATAAATGAATATTTTTAAATTCATTTTTTAAAATATATTACTTTTAATGTTTTATTGTATGATGTATATTTTATTTAATTACAGAATTATCGAAAATAATTTTATAAATTTATTTGCTTAAAATAACATATATGTTATTATTTATTTACTATGATTATATAATGTAATTATTAAAATACAATATATTTTTACACATATTTTCATTTAAATAATTTTCTTAATGATTTTTGAAAGATATATGCATTTCTTATAATTATTAAAAAAAAATTATGTTGTTAAATTATAAGTAAAATAGCATAAAAAATAAGAAACTTACAGTGCTTTGACCTTGATATCCCACATTTGAACTATTTTGGTTTCTCACTGTAAATATAATTAAGAAAATTATTAATATTAATTATTAAAATAAGTTATAATAAAATTAATATATTTATAATTCTAAAATTATTTATATTTAAATTGACGTAAGAAATAAAAATATATATATATTTATATAAATATATATATAGATATACATATACATCCATACATCATACATATATACATATATATTTCTAAATAACATATATATATTAAAAAATTATTTTTATCATTAAAAAAATATAATATAAATATAATTATGCCAAATATCCATTTTAGGACGCCATTCTCTATAAAGCCGGTATATAGATATCGATTTTTTTTATTAAAACTATTTACATTTTTGAATATTAAAAATATGAAATATATATGAACATATTTATTATATTAGAATGTAAATATAAAATACATATGTGTTCGAAATAATTTGATTTTTCTTTTAAAATTATTTAAAATAACTTACTATTGGCATAGCCTTGACTCTGTCTGCTTCTTGTATACATGCTGAAGTTTCTTTAAGTTAAATTATTTCAAATATAATCAAGTTTAGAACATATAAATATTTTTTTACATTTCATTTAATTTTTAAATATAAAGTAAAATTAATTTATATAAAACACTTATAAGTATTATTACTTCCAACTCATAAATTGGAAACAACTTTCTATCTCCTTACATAGAATGGAATAGGAAATGACGTTTTTGCTGTTGTCGGAAATGGCATGTCTTCCATATTGACCATTAAGCGCATGCTTTAATAACGACAATTTCATAAATTTAATTAGAACATATTCTTTTGCAGTATTATTTATTTTTTTCATAATTTTTTAAAATTAAGTAATAAAATTTTTCATTATATATTGTTAAAAAAAATAAATTTTTACATAATTATTTTTTCTATAAATTTAAATAAGTATTATTTGCATTTTAAAACGTACAGGAAGTTCTATTTTATAGTTTTTTCTATAAAATTTTATTAGTATATTCTATGAATAAAAATAAGATAAAAATATTATATGAATATATATTCATAAATAATTGTCACAAAATTATAATCCAAATATGAAATAATTGAATCTTTTATTTCATTATGGAAATATTGGCAAAATTTATAGAAAAAAATTGTAGAAAACTGAAGCGTCTATATAATAAAAATAAATGAAAAAAATTTTATATGGTATTAAAAATATGTTATTATATTAATTTCATTTTTTTATATTATAATTTTTATCAATACTTTTATGTTGAATATAAGTAAAATATTAAAAAAAAATCTTTTATTTGCTAATTGTTAAAATTATTAATATTAATTATTAATTGTTACAAAATACATTAGAATTTTTCAATAAAAATTTTTTAATTAGTTTTACAAACAATAGTTTATGTAAATTCATATTATGCAATAAAGAAACATAAAATTTATAAATTTAGAGGATTTAAAATTAAAAAAAAAAAAAAAATATATATATATATATATACATCATTAGTTATTTAATTATACCAATAATATATTGTAACATATTTTACAAGATTTAACTTTTTACTATTCAGAAAAATTATATTATAAAATGTTATAAATTCAAAGTAATCCTTCCATTTCTTGCATAAATTGCATATATGCATCATCTTTTGTTTTAGGTTGAGTAGTTCGTACTGGTTGTGTTTCTGGTATCCTTTCTGAAAGTCTTGACAGAGTACTTGGTTTTTTCTTATCATCTCTTTTCACACGAAGAGAGGTAGGTAAAAATCTTGTAACATCAGCTGCTAAATTTCTAATTTGTGGTTTTGCTTCAATAGTTGTAGTACATTTACCATCTTTATCTTTTCTATTAATTAATTGTGGTGCAGCAGAAAGTACATTAGGTGTCTTAGGTTGTGATCCTGTTCCAGATTGTGTCTGCAATTGGGGATTTCCTATGTTTGTCATATTTGATAAATTTGGCATTTGCATTTGTGGAGGAGGCATTCTAGGCATACTTGGTGGACCAGGTCTTAACATTCTTGGCATTCCTGGTGGTGGACCTATAAATAATTAAATTTTAACTAATATTTTAATATTTTGTATTATATTTTGTCATTTTATTTTCTTTTTTTTGTAATACCATTTTTATTTTTAATAATAAATATTTAAAGAAAAGATTTTTAAAGATATTTATATTATTTTAATAATTTTCATATACAATATAACTATATTATATATTATATTACATAAAACTGATAATGATAATAAATATTTACCTGGAGGTAAACGAAGTCCAATACGAGGAGGAGGTGGTGGAGGCATTCTTAAATGTAATGGTGGTGGTGGAGGTCTATACATTAAAGGAGGAGGTGGTAATCCCATAGGAGGCATTGTATGTGGTTGTGTATGCTGAGAATGAGAATGTGACGTATGTTGATTATGGTTTGATGAATGATCTGATGCTCCTGGTGGTTCTAGATCTTCTTCTTCTGTTTTATTATTAACAGATTTGTTATTAGATTTTGAATTAGATTCATTTTCTGCTTCAAGTAACGATAATCGAGCATTTAAATCTTGGGCTCGTTCGGTTTCTCGTTTTTTATGAACAACTTCCATTTCACGCATAAATTGGTCAATATCTTGTCCTGCCATGGCTAACATTTTCTGTTGTAAAGTAGTTGGTTTTACTTTAGATATGTCTCTTTCTTTTTCTTTTTCTTTATCAGCATCTTTATCTTTATTTTCTGATTCTTGTTTATCTTCTTTGTCATCCGCAAATCGAATTGTTCTTGATTTTGGTACTGATTCTTTAGACTATATATAATTATATGATTACTTAATAATAAGTATATATAATAAATACTATAATAAACATATTAATTGATTTTGAATAAATTTAAATACCTTGTCAGATGTATCTTCATCATCACTTGATAAATCAGGAGGAGGAAAAGGTGGAACACCAGGTGGTTCCTTATTAGGTGCTAATGTTGGTATAGAAGAAGATGTTGCATATGCACTTGTTTTTTTTAAAATGCTTGGTGGAATTGGTATGTTCATAAGAGGATGATGTTGTGGTATGTAATGTGGATGAGGAGGATACATATGTGCTGGTGGTTGTGGCATATCTGGTAAAGGTATTTGGGAAGTTAAGGAACCTGAAAACATATTTTATATGCAATATTCAAAATTTTATATTTTAAATAATATCATAAATATTATTAAATACCTGAATACATTCGAGATATATCATTACCAGCTGATGGTAATGGAATTTCATCAACTTGTACTTGTTGTGCATGTCTTACAGCTTCAAAATAAGAAACTAAATCTATTCTTCTACGTTCATATTGAATTAATTGTTCTTTTAATTCAGCCCATTTTTCTTGATCATCTTTTGCCTACAAAGAAACAAAAGTAAAAATGATATACATATTTTATAATATATAAATTATTGATTTCAATATTGATTTCATCTTACCAATAATTTTTGTAGCAAATATATAACTATTATATAGGAAGTACTTACATACATTTTTAAGACACGGTCTAAAGTCTCCTTTAATTTCTTCCGTTTATCTTTCAATACTTTCTCATTAAGAGGTGGTGGTTGCATAACATTATATTCTAAAAATTATTTAAAATTTTAATTTTTTTTATATACATATGTATATATTATATAATTAATAATAATTAATATTTTTAGATTTATAAAATATTAAATATTTTGCTAACCCATTTGATCTATTTTTTCCATTTCTTCAATAATTTGAGCAGGATCTTTGCCTTTTAAAACAGCAGCACGTACTAATTGTCTCTGTTTTTTATTTTTCTTTAATTCTTTTTTACGTGCTTCTTTACCTATAATAAATTCGTAAGTAATAAATTATAACTTAGTAATTTATAATTTTAAAAAATAAATTTTTAGGTTATGTTATTTACTAACGTGCTTGATCAGTGGGATTCATATATTTCCCACTTTTTGTAGTGTTTATTGAACGACGACCCATATTTTATTATTTAATAAAATTACTTAAAACGTAAATTTATATTGTTTTCACAATTTTTATATTAAATAAATTATTATTTACATTCATCATAACTATAGATTCACCATTAATACTGAGAATATACTATAGAGTGAACACTAAAAAAGTCCACTATAGTTTGTATTTTATTTGTCCAATATATATAAATTGATTGGAGAATAGATTAAATTGAGAACACGAATAGAAAAATTCTAATACTTAAATTCAATTTTCATAAAATATGATATATACATAATAATTCAAAAAAATTCATAACCTGTTTCTGTTATAAACAGAAGCCGGTTCAATAATAACTTTACATAGTAAAGTAAGTATACATTTTTTGTTAATTGTGTAAATAATATTTTTTGCTTTATTAATATATAAATAAAAATCATAATTTTAATTATTATTGTTATTATTATTATTATATTATTATAAATGTTAGTCATTACATGGTACTGGTAATATATTATAATATTATAATGATATTAATGAAAATTATAATATTAAAATATTATATTTATTAGTTTATACTTATTGAATGATATAATATATAAAGTCCTTTATATATTAATTGATTTAATACAGATATTGTATATGTATGTATATATATATATATATTGTATATATATATATATATGTATGAATAATTAAAATAATATAATATTAAGAAATAATTTATAATTTTATAATTGTAAATGGCTTAATTTAATATTATATTATTAAATTTATATAATATTAATAACAAAATTTAATTTTAAAAACTATTTTCATAATTAAATTACAAGAAAAAACAATAAAGAATGTCACACATTATTGCACATGATATAAATAAAAAACCACGAACAAAGGATATTAAAATACAAGATGATGTTACATTTTTTCAAATGGGATTTTCTCAAAAAATTTTGGATGGATTATCTGTTTGTGGTTTCCAAAGACCTTCACCTATTCAACTAAAAGCAATTCCATTAGGAAGATGTGGTTTTGGTATAATTTTTATTTATTTTATATATAATATAATCTATATTTTAATTTTTTATAAGATTTATATTATTATAAATATATATAATATATATATATATTATTAAATCTAAATTTTAATTATAGATTTAATAATGCGTGCTAAATCAGGCACTGGAAAAACTTTAGTATTTTGTATAATATCACTTGAAATGATTGATATAGATATATCATCTGTACAAGTATTAATATTAGCACCTACTAGAGAAATTGCTGTTCAAATTGCACAAGTTTTTTCATCTGTTGGTTGTGAAATAAAAGGTTAAAAAAATTTTTTAATTAAACTTGTTTTTTTAATAAATAATAAATAAGAATTATAAAATGAAAATTTTTTTATTTCAGATTTAAAAGTTGAAGTATTTATAGGGGGACTAGCTATAGAGAATGATAAGAAAAAAGTAAACAATTGTCAGATAGCTGTTGGTGCTCCAGGAAGAATTAGACATTTAATTGATAAAGGATTTTTAAAAGTTGAAAATGTTAGATTATTTGTCCTTGATGAAGCAGACAAATTGATGGAAACAAGTTTTCAAAAAGATATTAAGTTTGTATAATAATATTTATATTGAAATAAATCAAAAATATAAAAATATTTAAAATATAAATGATTTTCAGCTACATCTTTTCAAAATTACCATTAAGTAAACAAGTTATAGCATCAAGTGCTACTTATCCAGGAGATTTAGAAATATTTTTACAGACA